ATAGGGACCAGAGGAGCCAGGAGAAGGATAACCCGGCTAGTCTGTTATTGTTTGTTAAAAGGTTTTATTTTGATACTAGAATGAAGGGCCCAAAAATGTAGATTCCAGAAATGGGAATGTAGAAATAAAGAAATATAAAGTTGTAAGCCTAGGAGAATGAGAGCAGACTGTCAGCAGCTTTCTCAGGATTAACTAGTAACAGTGGGTTACTCCGCTTTACAACCCATAGCTCTGTTTACAAGGTCAAAGCATCTCTCTGCAAACTGAGAGCTAACCTACGGATACGAGCTGAGCCAACTTTTAGGAAATAGATGTGTAACCTCTGGATTACAAATTAACCCTGTAAGTCCCAAGTCCCCATCTGGCTTTCCGGTTCCCCCTCAGGGCCACCCGAGAGTTCAGGAATCCCATTAGACCTGGATGTTTTTATATTTTTTAATTTGGCTTGTTGTGATTTGGCTTGATTGGGATTTTTGTGTCGGCAGAGAGCTCGCGTTAGGAAAATTCCTAACAATCCCTGCTGTGTGAAACTGGCAGCATCGTAGGGGAGAGCACAGGGCTTCAGTAAACACCACGTGGAAGTACCAAGAAAGACAATCAATTAAGCACAAACATTAATTTAACTGGAAAACTCTGTTAATGGAGATTGTAAAGTAAAGCAATCTGTATCTGAGTTTTACCATGAGATTGTAAAGCTTCCTCTATTTGGACCTAATGCTTGGTGCCCCTACTATAAAAAAGGTGGGGTCAGAAACTGGCCTTTGCCCCAGCCTTACAAAATCCATCTCTGGCTGTGGTCTCAGCTAGCTGATAAGCTTTTTGTGCCCCATGGAGATTTATTTTATTTTATTTTTTCCTGGATTCTGGTTTCTGGAATAAAATTTGCTTCTGGTTTATTAGACTTCTGTGGTCTCTCCCCATCTTTGCACAACCACCACTGGACCCAACATAGAAGACCTTCAATTCAAAATCATTATTTTTAAGGCTAAAGCTGACAGGAATGTAATGTCAAGCTCTAGACTTACGAGAGCTGCTAACGTACTGTAGACTGTTTAGGAACACAAGTAAATAGTCATCCTTATAAATAATAAAGTTCTTTAATTGTGGTCATGCTAAGTATTGATGTAATTAATTACAGGGATAAGCCTTACTTGGTCCCCTGTATATATCTTCAGAGTTGAGCTTAGAGCAAGTACCTAAAAGCAAAGTATGTCTATACCTAATAGACAGACAACCCTCAAATGCTCATAGATCTACAGAACATGGCATTTAAAATGTTTAATTAAAAGGCTTTTTGTGAGATGGGAGCAGAAAATATGTGTAACTCAATAAAAACAATTTTAAAAAAATCAAAAAACAAAAAAGTTTTTTTTTTTTTTTTGTAATAGAGAGACATGCCAGCTCCTGACAGCACCCCTATTTTCTCCAAAAAAGATGGATGGGAACAGAAGAACCTCTACCTGGAACTTGCTTCGAACGTGGCAATGCTTTTCACCTCTGCAAAGACCCTCTTCAGATGGACAAACTGGGCACTGGAGAACCAACTGCCTAGAGTTGCCTAAGCAAAGGTAGACTGGTCCTCCTACAAGTCCCCACTCCACAGTAAGTCTGTCGGACCTTCTGGGGCCTGGCAAACCTAGGCCTCCCAGCTGAAAACTGATGCTGCCCTGAGACCTCTGCCCTCAATGACTATGGAGGATCTTGTCATGGGTGGCTGTCTAGGTAGCCAGCAAAGTAAATCTCTTTCATTTTAATCACTAACTCAGGTAAAATTTATCCTTCTCAGAACTCCCATGCTGTTTGACGACTAGGCTAGAGGTAGCTTTGTCAATCTAACAGTAGCAACCAGGGCTTCAGCTGCCTTCTCAGTTTTCTGTAAAATTCAGGCCAAGGCCTCACTCTCCTAGAGCCAATACTAAGTCTAGACACAGTTTTCCTCATAACCAGACTCAGAAAAGATATAAACTCACAAAACAGATTTCAGTATAACTTCTTACCATTACCTTGTTTAAAGGAACTTATTTTGCAGTGACTGCTCTCAGTGATCAGCCACCCGTATTTCCTGGTGAATTAGAAAGAAATTCTTTTCTTTCTTTCTTTCTTTCTTTCTTTCTTTCTTTCTTTCTTTCTTTCTCATTAATTATTTATTAAAGATTTCTGCCTCCTCCCCACCACTGCCTCCCATTTCCCTCCCCCTCCCCTGGTCAAGTCCCCCTCCTCTTTCTGTAAGCTCCAGAGAATTTAACCAATTAAGTTTGAGATGACATAGTTGTTCCCCTTAGTTATGCTTAAAAGGAGCCTACACTTTCCTCTCTGGGGTTGTGGCCATTTTGTACAGGTGAACAATCCCATGCATGTGGTGTAATAATCGCTCTTTGTTCTTACATACTATCTGAGTCTGAGGTCTTCCTTCAGCGTTTCCTTGGACCCTACAGGAACCGTCACATCCTTCCTTTTTTGTCTTTTTCATTCAAGGGGAAGACGGCACTTGTTTCAGGAGAAGGGAAAGGAGGACACCATTGCAATGACTATAAATGCTGCCCTGGTGAGTTTAGCAGCGTCCAGCTCTGTAAGCCACAAAGAGCTCTAACACAATGCTTGCCCTTTGCAAGGTATGCTGACATCTGGTCAAAGCATCTGAGAACTATACCAGATCTACCCTCTTGCTGGTGTCTTAGTTACTTTTCTATTGCTGTGATAAAACACCGTGATCAGGCAGTGGTGGTGCACGCTGTTAATCCCAGCACTCAGGGGCCCAAGTTAGAAGTACCTCTGTGAGCTTGAGGCCAGTCTTGCCACCAGGTCTACACAAAGAAACTGTCTCAAAAAAATAAAAAACACCATGTAGTAGGAAAGGTTTATATGGGCCTATGGTTCCAGAAGGATTAAGAGTTCACCATGGAAGGGTGAAGGCAGAAGGTAGCTAGAGCAGGGAGCAGACTGAGAGCTCACACCTTGAACTACCAGCACAAAGCAGAGGGAGTGAGCTAGAAATGACATGAGTCATTAAACTCTCAAAGCCTGCACCCAGGGACATATTTCCATCAGCAAGATCATGCCTCGCTAACTGCCCAAACTGGGCACCAAGTGTGTTCAAATGTCCAAAAGTGTGGGGACATCTCATCCAAACCACTACAGCAATCAGCAGCCTGCCTGCTGTCTCCATCGATGTGTTTGGTAACTGTAAAGGATGACCAGAAAGCAGGACCGGTGGTCATCACACCTTCCCTTTCAGTCAGGAAGCCAGAAATGAGCTCTGGCTACGAACCATTTTCTGTTTCCCAAGGTCTCTTGACACCCCCCCACCTCCACACACACACACACTGTTATCGTTCATGGCCAGCCTAGGCTGGTCCCAAGAGGATAGCAGAGGGTGACCAGAGGCTGAGGCAGGCAGGTGGGCAACAGACAGAAATGCTATGCCATGCCTAAAGAACTTGGGTATAGAGTTTATTTAGTGGGTTATAGAGGGGGAGGGGAGAAAGGGAGAGATAGGGAGGGGGGGCAGAGAAAGAGGAAAAAGGGGAGAGAGAGGCAGAGGCTGCCAGAGACTGCATCTTCAGAAGAAGGAGGGGGGGGGGGG